CTCAGCTGAGCATGGTGGCATAGGCCTTTAATCCCAGCACTTGAGAAGCTGGGGCAGGAGGATTCCCAGGAGTTCAAGGCCATCCTGGACTACACAGTAAGCTCAAGACCAGCCTGGACTACATAATGAGACCCTTTCTCAAAAAACACAAAAAACAAACAAACCAACAAAAGAATTCTTCCCCAGAGACATAGAAAGTATGTTTTTAAAAAACTAAATAGAAACTTTATAATAGAAAAATACAATCTCTGAAGCAAGCAAGAAATACAATGAGAGGATCAATATCAGACTAGAAATATCAGAATTAATGAACTTGAAAATATATATCTGTATTTACAGATCAGTAGAAAATATCCATTCTAGAGAAAACACAAAGAAAAGCAAAAAAAGAACACCAAAGATCTGTGAGACAACAGCAAATAACATGAGTATTTTAGTCTGAGAAGAACAGAAGAAAAGGGCTGGAACAGAAAATGTCTTTGAAGAAATAATGGTTGATAATATCCCAAATTTGGTGACAGTCATAAATTTATAGATTCAAGATCAGTATCCAAAAACAAAATAAACTCAAAGAAAACTTCTCTAGATACATCATAACAAAACTGCAAAGAGATGAAAAAATCTTGAAAGCATCTAGAGAAAATTGGCATGTTACATACATACATGTAAAATGCATGCATGATACAGGCATACATGATAACTGAAATGACTATGGGTTTTTCAGCAGAACATCTTTAAAGTAACATCAACTCAGATTATTGTTAACCTAGAATTCAATAATGCAATGAACATAATCTCTGGGAAAATATATGAGATAAAGAGATTCTCAAATGAAGGAAAACCAAGAGAACTCATAGCCAGTAGACTTCTCTACAAGAAATGCTAAAGGAATTTCTTCAGGCTGTAGGAAATTTTCCCAGGGAGAAACAGATCTTCAGGAATAAAGGAAAACCAAGAAATGGTACTTATCTGAGTAAAAACTCAGGACTTCTAATTTACTCTTACATTCTTTAAAATTCATATGATGATTTAAAACAAAAACAAACTTCATCTTGAGAGTTTTCAATGTATGTTGATGTGATACAGATAGCAATAACATAAAGGGGGGGAGAGAAAGGGACTTACACTGTTGCAAAGTCTTAAATTTTATACTAAGTATAATATTAACTCAAGAAAACTATAAAAGATTAGATATGCATGTTTTTATCTTTAAAGCAACCAGTGAAAAAGATATAGAGAAATAAAAAAAGACAACATCTAAATAAAATTATCAAAACAAAAAGACAGAAAAGGGCAGAAAAATAAAAACTAGAAGAGATAAAGAGAAACGAAGTAGTAAAATATTGAATTGAAATTGAACCATATCAATAATTATATTAAATTTTAAAGGTCTAACTTCTGTTAAAAAGTAGAGCTTGACAGAATGAATAAAAAAGTAAGACCCTACTATAAGTAAGACCCTACAAAAAACACTTTAAATACAAAGACACAGACAAGTAGAAAGTAAATAGATGGTAAAATATATACAAATAGCTTAAGAAGACTGGGGAAACTACTTTAGTAACATATAAAATAGAATGTGAGGTAAATGGTATGACCATAGGTAAAAAGGGATATTTTATAATGATATCATAAAAGATAATCATAAATTTAAGACAAGTCAGGTATAGTGGTGCATGCTCATAATCTTAGCTACTTAAAAGGGTGAGGAAGAGGATGGCCAAGTTCAAGTTCAGCCCAGGCAACTTAGTGAGACTCAGTTTAAATAAATAAATAAATAAATGGGGACGGGGTACAGTTCAGTGCAAAGGTCCTGGGTTCAATCCCCAGTACTGCCAAAAAAAAATGTGAATACACTTAATAAAAGAGACACAAAATACACAGCAAAATAAAACAAAAATTTACAGGATTTCAACAAAAAACAAATTCCACAACTGAAGGAGATCTCACCATCTCTCCATTAGCAATTTAGAGAAGTAGATCCTTCCCCCCAGAAATCAGAATAAATATAGAAGATCTGAATAACATGATCAACTACTTCCATGAAATTAAAATCCATGCACACTTGATGAAGCAACTGCAAAATACACTTCCTTTGCAGTACACATAATGTAGTCATAATACAGGCCACCATTTGGATCACAAAAATGGATCCCAATCAAAGAGGTCAAAATTATACAAAGTATATTCTCAGACCAAAGGAAATCAAATTAGAAATCAATAAAATATCTATGAAAACTTCAAGATACGTGGAAATTTAAATAACATTTTTTTAAAATAACCTCTCACTTAAAGACAAAAATCAAAAGACATGCCCTGGAGTGCTGCAAATGATCTGAAATTAGATGGCAGTGATAGTTGTATAACCTTGTGACTCCGCTAAACAACCCTGAACTATTTTTAAATGATCAGTTTTATGATATGTGAATCATATCTCAATTTTAACAAGAGGCACTAAGAAGTCTGAGCTTAAAAAAATTTAAAAATATTAAATATCTACACATGAAATATACAATGAGAGCAGTATCTAGAGGAAAACTAGCAGCAGCATTAAGTATTTATATTAGAAAAGAAGATGCAAAAATCAAAGACCTAAGGTTATACTTTAACAAACAAAATACAGGAAAATAATAATAAAGACAAGAAATCAACAAAACAGACAGACAATAAAGAAAATTAGCAGAGCCAAAAGTAGGTTCTTTTATAAGATCAGTAATACTGACAAATCTAAAACTCAAGGAATATAAAACATATAAATCACTAGTATCAGAAATGATTATCACCAAACTCCTACAAACATTAAGAAGGTAAAAGGAAGCTAGGATCAGTGGAGCACACCTGTAATCTCAGCACTCTGAGAAGATGAGGCCGGAAGATCTCAAGTGTAAGCCCCAGGCCTAGAGAATTTCCCTGGAAAATTACTCAAAGAAAAAATTAACACCAATCTTAATAGAAACTTTGTCAGAAAATAGAGAAAGATCATTAATCTGCTCGTTTCACATGACATTAGCAAACCCTAATGCCCTTGATAAGGACATTACAAAATAAGAAAATTATAGTCCAATACCTCTCACAAAGAATGCAAAACCCTTAATAAATTTTAATAAATCAAACCTAGCTATATATTAAAAGGCTCATCATGAACAAGTAGGGTTTATTCCAGTAACTGAATGTTGCTTTAATATTCAAAAATCAATTAATGAAGCTAGATGTGGCACACACCTGTATTCCTAGCACTCTGGGAGACTGAGGCAGGAAGATCACAAGTGTGAATCCAGCCTGAACTTAAAATCATCATGGTAAGTGACAGAAGCCAGGTATACTCTATGAGTCTATTCATATAAAACCCTAAATAGGTACACTTTACTGTATTTCCATGTGCCTTAACAAAGTTAAAGAAAAAAGCCTAGGAAAGGAATTCTGGGAGTCAGAATTTGCACAACTAACTGGGAGGCACAGGAGAACCAGAAGTGTGGTCAGCAGTGGTGCAGGTGGCCTTTTAGCCACACGGTCTAACTTCCTCTTCCTCCACCTTCCCGCCTGCTCCATGCCCCAGATGGATGCTCCTTCACAGACGGTCTCAACCTTTGCCTTCTCTAGTTAGCTCCCCACACAAGGTCCTTCGTGTGCTGGCTGTTGCCAGGCAGGCATTAAGCATACTTGGGCTGGGGGTCACTGACAGCTGCCCCTGCAACAGCCAGCCAACACCACTTCACTGGAGAGCAGAAGGAAATCACTTGCAGATGTTCAAATCCCACATTACACCACCAGCAGAAGGTAGAAACAAACTGCAGCCCAATACGCAGAGAAGAGAACTCCTACCCTGTCGGGAGCAATGCTACATAATTTCAGGGAAAAATCATTTGGTTAGCCTAGTTCTCCGGCCTACAGCCCAGCTATGGAATTCCGAGACATAATTGCATTTTGGCCTCCGGTCACAACTGAGACCTCAATGATCCGGTGATGCTGTGATTCTCCAGGACAAGAAACATCCTGGGAGCTGAAAACACCCTGGGAGGAACAAAACATCCACTCAGTTCCTCATTGTTCTTGGACCTTTACCATCTTGTTTACGCGGATGTACTGAACTCTCTGCAAGCCATTTGTTACCTTTGTTTCTCCCGATGTACTGAATAAAAGGTGCAGTAAACTGGGGGCTTTTGTCTTTGCTGCCCTGAGCAACACTGATCAGACCCAAAGCTCAGCTTCTTCTCAGTCTCATTTTTCTACCTTTCCTGTAATTCGCCATGTGCTGCTGTGGCTTGCAGGAGACCAGGACTCACTGCAGAGGTTCTGGTAACGTCCCCTTCCCCTGTTCCCTACACTACCCCCACTCCAAAAGCAAAGTGCAGCTCTGCCGACGAGGAAAGCAACTGGTTCATGGGTCCCAGGAGGAGGACAAAGAGGATCTGAAAATTCCAAACTGTTCAAACTTTTTGACTCTTCTTGCCTTGCCTTATCAACCTCCTTCACCTGAGTATGTTATATTCTCTACCATGCTGTGTACAGTCCACTCAAACACACACACACATGCACACACAATATCTGAGTCTCACACCTCTCATTTGGAGGGAGCTAAGCCCTGTCACTCATAAGATAAGATGTATAACAGTCTGTAAACTGCAAAGAACCAAATAAATGCTGGGGATTATGACTGCTTTACTAAGGACAGACTTGAATATGAAGATGTACACATTACATCCCTGGTCAAAAGCACCATGAAGACCAGGACTATGTCCAGTGGCTCTTCTGAGAACTCCACACCGCTGCCGACATCCTGCCCAGTAACTTCCTGCCCAGTGATGTGATGAGTTTTATTCGGGGGGTCCCCAGCATCCTTGGGGTCAGCACTGAAAAAAACCCCTACAGAATGAGAACAGATGCACCTCCTTCAGCTACATAAATCAAGAGAGGCTGCTGAGAACCACTGTTCTCCAAGTCTGGGAACTCTCCAATGTTCAAGGCTAAATTAGCATTTCAAGGCTGGAGAACTCATTGCACCTTCTGAATTGGCACAATTGGTGCTCAAGGATTAAAACCAGGTACAGAGCCTTACAGCAGAAGCAGTGTACTTTCATCACACAGAATGAGATGACAGAGGCCCATGCAGCAGGACTCAGGCTTTAGCATCATGCAAACAGGAAAAATAACCAGTTTCAGACCTGATACCACTACTACTCCATTATAATTCACTGATACACTCAGCAAACATTTACAGAGCATTTGCTCTATGCCAAGTACTGGTAGGCCTCGGGTATACAGATGTAAGCAAAACGATCACTGTCTTTGGCCTCATGGAACATACAGTCTTGAAAATTTGGTCAAATTCACAGTTTTTTAAAAAGTGAAAAGGTCTGGCCTTATTTAAAGCAGCATTTTGGCAAAATCACATCCACATTACAAGGTATAAACACGAATCAGGGCAGCTGGCTTTCACATGTCATTTTGGGTCCCTCTCACTACATTATAGACCTACTGGGCATTGCAGGCCTCCACCAGGGACCAATGTGTCCCTGAAACATTGAGCCACAATCCATGTTCTCACAGACAAGAAACAAGGGGGTGGGGGCTGACCTCTCGCCACCTGGCTCCCGCGCTGCTAGAGATGTACACATTGGTCTTGCTTGCCAGGTTTTTTCCCACTGAGCCTAAAATGTAAGATGAAGAATTATTTTTCATGTCAAGACTATGTCAGAGAATCACCTTGTCCAACCTAAAATTCTGAGTAGAATCTGGCAACCAAGAATGTCCTAAAACCACAAAAACCAGTTGCTGCCAGAAATGTGGATGATCATGCTGTAATTGTCTGCACTTAACTAGACTACCGAAGCCCCTGAGGGCAAAGCAGAGCACACTTACCCGTGGCAATTATGAGGCCAGGGGCTGACTCCTTGGACAGGATGGGCATCCTCCGAAGCTGGAGGTTGAGCAGTTGACTGAGACGCTGGGCCAGGTGCAGGGAACAACCCTGGGAAAGCTACATAAAGAAAGGGCCAGACAATGTCAGCATTCAACCCAGTGCATAGGTCTTCCTCAAATCCATCAGCCTATGTGAGGACCCCGAAGTCAGACCCGGAGCAAGGAGGACTGGCCCAGAGAAACCCGACTCACAACCTAGCTGGCTCCACACCCTACCCCCCACCCCATGGAATGGAACATCTGAGCCCCATAAGTGTCTATCACTGAAGAAAAGAGGAAAAATAATTTTAAAACTCCTGAGACTCTGAAGGAATAACAATTATAAATCAATGTCAACTCAAGTAGATAGGAAAGGGACAGCTATCACCCAGAGACCCTCTCAAGTGACTCAAAGCTAAAGAGAAATGAAATGATGTCATGATATTTATTTTCTAAATCAGTGATGTGTTTTCAATATAATTCTAGCAATTCTGTCAGAAGAAAAAGCAACAATTAGAAATCATAAAGTCTCAGTGAGAAGCTCCCAGATGTACAACATATGAAATATGAACATGAAAGGATTCACATTAAAGGAGTGTTCTATATCTTACACAAACATGTGACAGTGTAGAGCAAGGGTCCAAGTTATTTTAGCTAGCCTCTGTCAGTTATGTCTAGGTTTTAATAGTTCTTTGTAAATCATCAGGATAGCACTTTTGATATATGGTCATGCCTGATTGGCCAGAAAGGTCATTAAGATGTGTCCAGTGTTCTTACTGAGTAATTCTGCGTGTGTTTATGGTAGAGATAAAAACTGCAACAAGGTTGGATCTACTTATATTTTTCACAAAAGAATCTCTAACAAATGTCTATCTTGCTAGCTTCTTAGTTTGGCTGCTGAAAACTGAAGCAAATTAGACTGCAACTCTAAGAAATATTCACTTACTCCCTTTCTTGACTCTTACTTCTTTGTCTGCAAGGAAGTCTATTCAAGAAAGTGTTTCTGTATCTTCAGTCCGATTTTAGCCATCCCTACATATTCTTTTCACAGTTTGTTATGGTTTGTATCTGAACTGTTCCCCAAAGGCCATGTTCTAAAAGCTCGGTCGACAGCCTGTGGCACTAATGGAAAGTAGGATAACACCTACAAAGTAGGATCTAATGGAAGGAAGTTACACCATAAGAGTGTGCCTTAGAAGGGCATACTGGGACCCCACCCCTTCCTCTCTGTTTTCTCTGCTTCCGAGCTGCCATGATGTGAGAAGCTTTGCTCCACCTAGTACTTTTCAACCATGATGCTTAGCTTTATCACAGTCCCAAAGTGAGTCCAAGTAGCCATAGACTGAAGCCTCTGAAACCATGAGCCAAAATAAATTCCTACACTTTATAAATTCATCTTTTTCTTTGGTATTTTGTCCCAGTGATAAACCTAACAAACCACCTAAATTCAGAAGTAGAAACTAAAAGCTGATTAACTATCTTACAGTTCATATACTGATCAGTCAAGGAAATAAAAAAAACAAACACTGCTCTTATTTGTATTTAACCAAGCTGACTTCCATGGCATGCTCAAAAACACCCCAGCCCCACCCACACCAGGATCAAACTAAACTGCTGAGGTCATAAGACAGTGCTGAGGGAAAGGGTAAATATCTAGGTATTTAATTATATCCTTTTTTAGCCTGGTGATTTCCAAAATTAAAATCAATATAGTAAATCAAAACCTGTTACCAAAAGGGGACAACAAGTCAAGAGGTATCCCCTAGGGCAAGAGTCTCCAAAGAAATTTTCCCAAATATCTCAGATAAAGAATACAGAAGAGGCCCAGAGATATAGCTCAGTGGCACGGCACCTGCCTCACAAACACAAGGTCCTGAGTTCCATCCCCAGTACCAAAAAAAAAAAAAAGGAAAACAGAAGAGTTACCATCATTGACAAATTCAAAAATCTTGAAGACCAGGTAATTGTCTAACTAAATGTTACAGTTCAGTTACTAAAATGTTACAGTTTCTTTCAAACTTAGTACTGCTTATTTTTTCTGAGTGTCTTCTGCTCACACCCTAGATTCCTTACACAAAATAGAAACAGAGTATAGGGTGTCACACAAAGCCAAAGACACAATCCATAGACTGTTTGGGGTTATGGGAACACTTACTGGAACCAAATAATGCACTTTGATATTTTTAGCTTTTCAGATAGCCCTATGGACATGGAAACTACAATCCTGAGTTACATTCAGAGAAGAATTTTAAAACTAGCTCCACAGATATAATAACTGATAAAAGAGGTTCCCAAACAATCTAGATTTGAAACACAATTGGTGTTTCAGTAATGTTTTATAGCAGAAGAAATGACATGTGTTTTTAATATAGTTACGTGCAAACAACTTATCAGGTATACATCACTTAATAACAGCATATGTTTGAAACAATAGTATATATTAACTAGATTTTTAAATAACCACAATTACCTGGTAATATAATGTAATTTTGGAATCATATAGGACACCACCACCCTCATGTCCTATTTCCCCCCTGATATTCTCACTTTTTTTCCCTATCACAGCAACTTCTGAAAAATTCAACTTCCCAAAGATAAAGATGTCATCAAAAGAAATACAACATGACCTGATGTTGAAACTGTGATTTAACTCAAGCTAGTTACTCAGAGAACTCACGTGATTTAATAGATGTCAACTATCATGGTAGTTCCCTCAAAATTTTTAAATATTGGGCTGGGAGCATAGCTTAGTGGTAAAACGTATGCTTAGCATGTGCAAGCCCCTGGGTTCAATCCCCTGCACCAAGAAAAAGCCCATGTGCTTTAAGTATCCCATTGTTACCCTGTGAGTTCACTATGGCTCTCCACAATGCCTCAGTGCAGAGTCTGGGGCCAGCAAAGGTGGAAATGCAGATAAACATTTGTTTCATGTGATATCAGAGGACTATGTGACCTTACATATTTCCAGTAAATATTAGATGTAGGAAACCCTACAGATCAAAGCTCTTTTCCTTGTATTAAAAACCCAAACAAAATTAAAGCATCTATACCTCACAATTGATTTTCTCTCCATATTCTGTGAAGGCTGGAGCTTGAATAAATTCCCAAGTTCCCCCTTTGTCAAAGGTGATGACTGATCTCATGTTCTCTTCATTCATAGAACCATTAATCAGAGTAGCAATGTAGACTCCTTGCAACCCTTCCACACGATGGAAGTCAGCAAATGGCTCATTTGCAAAATACCTGCAGTATGAGAAAATAAACAGCAGTGAACCTGAGAATAACACTTTGATTAGCTTTTTAAAAATCATACATAACATAAAATTTAACCATTTTAAAATAGAAAGTTCAATGGCATTGAGTACATTCACAATGTTGTACAACCATCATCAACATCTAGTTCCAGAACATTTTTATCACTGACAATCACTGTACATTTATCCTTCCTTTCCCAGGCCCTGGCAACTACTGATCTGCTTTCTATTTCCACAGATCTGCTAAGTCTGGCTATTTCATATAAGTGGAATCACGTAATATGTGGTCTTTTGTATCCGGTTACTTTGACTTAACATAATGTTTTCAAGGTTCACTTATGTTGTAGCATGTAGCATACTTGCTCCTTTTTATGGCTAAATAATCTGCTCTTTAAAAAAAGAAAAGAGTGATTTTGTTTTGCCTCTGAAGGCCAAGATGCTTATCTGATCAACAACTCCTAACTGGGGGTTTGAAATGACTAAGATATTGTACAAAAAGTTGATATAAAGTCACAACTATTTCTTTACCATGGAAATTGACCCAAATCTTTCAATGAGCCTTGACAAATAGGAAACATTACACTGGACTTGCAAGACACAAGTAACAATGCTAAGGCTTAAAATTCGATGCAATTTGTAGGAAAATATAGCTCAGGATTACATAGCTACTACACAAGTACTTACAACCTAACTGTCAAACACACTGATCACACAGATGCCCACAGGGTTTTCTGTAAAGAAGCCCAGTAGCACGAAGACTGCCTCCCAAAGAAGCAATCCATACAACAAAGATGGCTCTAGAAAGCCTGAGGTTGTACATGGTAACAGGGAAGCAAAGAATAAGGCCCTTGCAGGCTGTAACTGCCATGCTAGGATACTGTGCTTTCACTGAGAAAGGATTTGCACTAAAATAATACAAACATTACAAATATAACATATTTCTGGAAAATGGTAACCATGGTTCACACATGGCTCTAAAACTTGGAACTCTGCCCTTTATTTCAGAGGTTCTGAGCCACTGGGCTACACAATGAAGCAGAGAATTGCTTTTTTTCCATCAGACAAATCTCCTGAGCTGGATGATTGCTTTGCCACCTCAAAGAGACACACACAACCAGCTCTGAGGCAGGAAACAGGACATAACCAGCAGCACCAACAAAGCCACTCTGGAATGACAGATGGAGCAAAATCCTAAATAAAACTCCAGAGTTGAGGCCAAATTCTCTGAAATCTGATTCCTTAGGTCTTTCTTAGTTATTTTTCAGGTGCTGCCTTAGGACTCATCTGAGGGTCTATCACCCATCTGCTGTCTATCTACCTCAGCATTCCTGTCTTTGTTCCTGTCATCATGAAACCTGCTATCCTGAGGTTTATCTGCTTCTTTCCCCCATCTGGGAGGCCTGAGTTGCTCTTGGTTACAAGAGCCCTATTTCTTTCAGCTGCTTATACACTTGGAGTTTTATCTTTTACTTCTAAGCCAAAGGCTGTCTTCTTATAGCTCAAAATCCATCTGCTTTACTCTCTGCCCATCCTTTCACTTCCTCCTTTGACTTGCCTCACCCTCAGTCTACTTTAAGAGTCCATTTTCTGCCATCTTATCTTCACTCAGCCTCCACCAGAGCACTTCTCTTTTTCCCAGAGTGCCTTGGGCCAAGACTTGCCAGGTAGCTCACCAAGTCCCCTTCAACCATACTTAGAGTAAATCTAGTCACTGGCAGCCATTCCCACTCACCAAGCTAGTGTTCCTTGTTCCTCTTTAAGGTGCCTCTGGGGGCCTTGACATGTTCTCAGCACATTAGTTCCTCCAAAGAGCCCTACATTTAGCTTTAACATTCTCTGCGATTCCTACACAGCACATCTCACAAATTCCTGGGTAATCCCCTATTAAGAGTTCTTTCTCCATTTCTCTAAGGAAATTAGAACCAGTTCCTCTAGCTCATTTCAAAGACCACAGAAGTTGGTTTAAACCAGGCTGCTGTCATCATCTAATTCACCCTTAGCCCATTACATCTGGCTGAGACTGAGATGCAAATGACAAAAGATCATTCCATTGGGCACAACCAAACCCCTGTAGTCTGAGATAAAATCTACGAAAAAGAGTAAGAAAGCTGTGCAGGATGTTGGGCTTTTTACGTGAATCTATTTTCAACTTTTTAACTGGACTGTACTCTCAGCCAGAGGAGGAGGAAACTGCATCACATAACAGGCTGTGTGTATATATAAAGTGGTCCTGTGGTCACTACTTCCTGGGGAGCCCTTCCCTCCAGCTCTGGCTCCGTCACTGCCCTACCATGAGATGTTCATCTAAATATCTAGCAAATGAAGAAAATGTTGGTAATCTGTGACTTATCTATCCATAGCCAGAGGCTCTACACAGAAGGAAAAAACTGAAGAGTCAGTGAAAGACCCAAAAGATAACGGTTCATGAATTTTAATTATAAAATGTAAACATAATAGTATTCATTCATAAAAATGAATGAGATACTGATACATGCTACATGTGTTACAAACAGTATGCTAAATGAAAGAAGCCAGACATAGGAGGTTGCATATTATTGTATAATTTCATTTATATGAAATAGACAAAAAAGGAAAATTTACAAAGACAGAAATTAAACTGATGGCAAGCTGGACATGGTGGTGCACACCTGTAATCTCAGCACTCTTGTGGCTGAGGCAGCAGGATCACTGTGAGTTTGAGGCCAACCTGGGCTACATAGTGAGTTCAAGATGAGCCTGAACTACAAAGGGAGACCCTGTCTCAAAAAAAAAAACAAGAAAGAAAAAAGATAATGAAAGAAATTAAACTGATGGCTGCCTGGAGGGTGGGAGAAGGGGATAGTGGAGAAAAAACTATTTAATGGGTATGAGATTTTCTTTTGGAGAAATAAAATATTCTAGAACTAGACAGAGGTGGTTGTTATGGCTTATATTTAGATGTCCCCCACCAAGAGCCTCATGGGCCCAGAGGCGGGGCTTTTGCAAGGAGATTTGGAAAGTCTCTGGGGGTGTGACCTGCAAGGGTGCATCTTCTTCCCCAGTTCTCCCTTCTCCCTCTGCTTCTAGGCTACTATGACACAAGCAGCTTTCCTCCACCCAGACCCTTCTGCCAGGCTACTTCTATGTTTAAGCCTGCCAACCATGGACTACAATTTCTGAACTGTGTGCCAAAATAAACCTCTGCTCCTTTAATTTGCTGGTGTTGGGTACTTAGTCCAAGCAATGAAAAAGTGACTGAGACAGTGGTGGTCTGCACGCCTTTGTGTAAGTACTAAGCACTGAACTGTTCACTTTAAAATGGCTAAGCTGATGTTATATGAATTTCATGTCAATGAGTTATTTTTAAAAAACAATAAAAAGACACAGGAACCAATCTGAGGAAGCTAGGAGCTACCACTAATCAAACCAAACAATTTGAATATCAAGATGAACCATGACAGTAACAGCTTGTAACACATTAAATAAAAATAACCCATGAGTCTATATTTGAAGGAGAAAAAAATGAACGAAACACAGCATCACCTCCAAAGGAGAAGAAACAGGAAGTAGAAACACACTACTGGAGAACAAGTAAATCTAATATCTAATAGGCATCTCTAGCTAATAAGTCCAAAACAATTCATGATCTCTCCCCTGCACATGTTCCTCACCCAGCCCTCCTGACTTCACCACCCAAGGTGGTCCCTTTGTTTCCTTATCCTATACATTGTCCAATTCACCAGCAGATCTATTGGCTGTACTTTGAAAATATATTTAGGATCAGAACACTCCCGTAATATCCACTGCAGGAGCCCTGGGGTCAGCCAACTGGCCTGGACCTCTGCAATCAAATCTTCTTATTCTCCCCTTGCCCCTAGTTTAGTCAGTTTTCCATGAAGCATTGAAGGTAACTTCTGTGAAAGATGAGACACGTAGTTACTGACTCAAAATTACTTGGAACACTTATACCCTTTGATGTTTTCTGCATTTTTCTTTATGTAATGCAATTTATAATTTTTCAAATATAAAAAGAAATCAACAGATGGTGTCTATCTCACTTATTTAAAAATACAGTAAGGGGGCTGGGGATATAGTTCAGCGGCACAGCGCCCACCTGACAGGGGCGAGGTCCTGAATTCAATCCCCAGTATCAAATAAATAAATAAATAAATAAATAAATAAATAAATACAGTAAGTCCTTTCCATGCCTTTGAACGTTCCACACCACCTTAGTCCTGGTCTCTAGAACCCTGTCTCTTCCCTCTCTCTGCTCTCCTGAAGTGGTTTAAAGCACAGAATAAATAAATAAATAAATAAATAAATAAATAAATAAATAAATAAATACAGTAAGTCCTTTCCATGCCTTTGAACGTTCCACACCACCTTAGTCCTGGTCTCTAGAACCCTGTCTCTTCCCTCTCTCTGCTCTCCTGAAGTGGTTTAAAGCACAGAAGCACCAAGGCTGTGCACTGCCCCTCAGGCATACTTCTGAGTCACTGTGCTAGCTGTCCCTCTGCCTGCAGGACTCTTCCCAAGGTGTTTCCTTTCCAAGAGCAGGAAATGAGCCTACCACAGTCACGCTGAGTTGTCAGATGACAAATGACAACAAATGGATTGATGGCCTTCAGAGGCTCTTCGGAATCTACTCATCCCTGCCAAACTCCAACTCCTACTCAGACTTTTGATAGGTGTGCTGCTCAGAGAACACCCTTGCCTGGAACTACAAAACTGCTCCATGCATTTGATTTACAGATTAAGTATCAATGACCCTGATGCCTTTCCTACAAAGCACAATCATGCAATTATCTTTTTAAAAGGGAGTGATGATGTTAATTAACCTGAGTCACTTGGAGGCAGGGTCCCATGGCCACATATTGGAGCTCTGTCTGGCTTGCTATTTTCCAAGTGTACTTTCTCACTCGCTCAGAGACCACAAAAACCAGATAAGTGAATGGAGAGAGCTTGAGGGAGTGGTTAACAGAGCAGCTGTGACCCTAAAGGTCATCTAGAACAGTGGCTCTCAGCTTTGGGCTGTACATAAGGAGCACCTGGGGAGATTTTTAAACTCTTCAAATCCAGGCTGTACCTCAGACCAATTTGATTGCAATCTTTAGGCATGTGAGTCAGGTATCTACTGTGGCTCTAAAAGTACCCAGGTTAGTCAACATGTACACCAGATACTGGGAAACATTTGCCATGATGTAAATATGATATTCCAGGCTGGGGGTACACTGGCCTAGCATGGGCAAGGCTCTGGTTGAACCCCCAGCAACACAAAAAAAGGATCCCCCAAAGACTCATGTACTGAGGGCTTGATTCTCAATGCAGCAATGTTCAGAGGTGTGGCCTTGAGAGGTGACTGGATTGTGAGGCCACTGACCTCATCAATGGTTTAATGCAGGTTTAATGAGGTAGATCCTAGTTGGAGGAAGTAGGTCACTGGGGACATGCCTTCAAAGGCATAAGGTAAGTAGCTTTGCTTCTCCACACCCTTTTGCCATGATGTTCTGCCTCACCTCAGGTACACAGGAACCAAATCAGCTGACTATGAAATCTCTGAAACCATGAGCCAAAATCAACCTGTCCTCCTTTAAGTTGACTTTCCCAGGAATTTTGTCACAATGGCCACAAGTTAACTAACACAGAAAGCACTGAACTAGAAAGAGGCTAGTGACCATTTTGGTCTAAAAAGTCGGAAGAGAGTCTTACACTCTCCTTACTTACCTCACCAGTGTGTCACTGCCAGCCCCTCCTGGGCTGTAGTACAGCACATTCTCCAAGGACAGAGAGAACTTGAGCCCATCTGCCTCTGAGATGTATAAATTTGTACAATTGTTACTATGACTGACACACACAAAGACCTGGTCCTCCGAGGCATCTGCGATGTAATATTCCTTTGGAATCAAAATTCAAGAAATACATAAGTCAAAAATGATTATGCCTTGTAGACTTTTTCTAGGCACATTAAAGCCATGACTTCCAAATGTCCCAGTGACAAATATGGGTACAAAGCCCACAGAAAGTCCCCAACTTTGACAAACTTTGATGACTTTCTATTCACAGAAGCTGAATATGCTCTGCAGGTGCAGCAGGATCTTTATGGAGCACAAAAAAGAATGGGACTCTGAAGTCCATAAATGACCTATAAGCCTTTCTTTAGGTATTATATTAATTATTATTAATGTCTTTCTCTTTTACTCAAGAGACTATTCATTAGTACAAAATATAATTTAGATTAACAAGAATTTAATTTCTTTTCTTTTCTTTTTTTTTTTTTTGCCCTAAGGTGACTTAAAGGAAGGCAGTACCTACACAAAGCATGAAAGAACTGATAGGACTGTTCTCCATCACATTCCCCTCTGAGCCACTAACTTCCCACCAAATAACTGCTCATATCAAGGCCTTCAAAGGAACCTCCTACCCACAGTTACTTCCCTGATGACCTCTCCCTGTGCTGATCTCTCCTATCAATCTCTGATTATAATGCTGCATATTCAAGGAATTGACTACAGTTTATTCCTCTGCTCAATTCCTGGTCTCCCCAATGTGCTTCTACAAGGTGGAACTCCAATCTGTCCTCTTTTGGAGCCTGGCTATCTGCAAGCAATATAGCAGGTACTCATTAAATAAGCGCTTTGGGCACATACTTCCCACTGCCTCAGCCCTAGCACATGAGGCCATTGACTTTAATACAACCCCTCTGCCAATCCTACTCCACTTAAAGCAAATTAAGTTTGCTGCTAAGCTTCACTTCAAATGGTGAAGTGGGCAACAACAGGCCAACATGCCCAAAGCACCAATGTCCCTTTTTAGAGCCCTCTGTGGAAAGGCATTCCACCCTAGCAGAGTACCCCCCATCATTCCCATTACACCCATTCCCCAATCTCTGATGGGGTTGGGGACAGTAAGATTTCTTCCCAACCCCAAGCAGACCTCACTCACATTAATAGGATGTCTTGTGACAAACTGGGCTGCTCGCATGGGCTTCCGGCCAAAGGAGACCCAGAGCTGGACAGAAGACTGTTGGTGATTGCCTAGGAGATGCTGCCAAGGAAGAGGTAAAAAAAATTAATTGTGCCAAATGATAGCTGCTCAACACAACTGAAGAAGGAAACAAGTTAGACTTTCTTAAATTCCACTGAAAACACAAAACAGAGACCATGACTACAAATTCATATTTTTGCAATGACAGCCATCACTGGACAGCCTGGGCTGGGCTGCTTTATGCTGGCTACCTGGTCTGCAATAGATATTAGATGGGAAGGACAAGTGTATGATGGAAGAAGTTGGACTTGTGCAGGGCGCTGGAAACGGCAATGCTTAGGAAGAGTGAAAAAAAGGAAAGAGGTTGTGTGGAACAAGGCTGAAGAGAAGGGAGGGCAGGGCCCACAGCCTCCAAACTAGCACAGATGAGCTCAGCCTCCAGTAAGGCACATCTTTCTACTCACACTTTTTTAAGTCATAAGACTTAAATTTATATTAAGACTCAAGGGAATCCTCAGTGATTGTATTTTCTAATCTCTGAGTAAGATCTCTTGCTGGAATATATATCCTTCAGTAGAATAGAGTATTCAACATGATATTGACCACATCATATTGCATTTTAGAGATTCTCAGCCATCATAACAATCTTGAAAATGTGTATAAAAGCACTAGATTAAGAGGATCTTAACTTCTCTGTGGATGAATAGATTTAAATGGTCCAGGAACGCCATGAATATATATATATGGAAATTTTTGCACACACATACAAGTCATTTTGCTAATTCATTTAAAATAAATTCTTTTTGTCATTTGTGCAGTGACTGTATATACTTAGAAGTAACTTTGTGTTTATCACCTTGGTTCTCACATAGTATTTATGGGGTATACATATGCACACAATATTGAGTTGTTGCTATTTTACAGGTAAGACAATTACTATGTTCTTGACCTCTGTAGTAAGTTAGCAATAATAATAAACAACAAAGATATGGAGGGTTCATATCTTTTGTCAGAGTTTTAAAGAGTCCATGACTCAAAAAAGATAAAAACTGTCATAAAGACAGTGTATGTTTCCAACTCTAATAAAAGTATGTGACTGGGAATTAAAGGTAAATGCTGTGCATCTATCAGAAAAGACACTGAGATACATACATAACTTTAAGTGGACACAGTCACACAAATGACTATTAAATTTATTTGGATGTTGGGATCTCCAGCCAGAAGAGGTAAGTGTGGCTTCATTATTCTTGACTTCTTTGCTATTATAATTATTAACTTCCTACAGAAGGTCAAGAACATACCAATTGTCTTAACTACAATATAACCACAATTCAATACCCTCTGCTTGTGATGCCCCCACAAATACTACATGAGTACTAAGCTGATAATATGCAAAATTACATCTAATTCATTTAAGCAGTATATACATTCAAACTACCACTGCACAAACGGTTAAAAATAGGTTGTTTTAAAGAAGGAAACTACTTCCTTGTAAATGGAACAATCCAAGAGGAAGAGATGACAATCATAAATATCTATGCAACAAACACTAGTGTGCCCAACTGTATAAAGCAAATACTAATGGACATAAAAAATCAAATAAGCACTAACACAACAGTAATGGAGGACCTCAATACCCCACTGTCACAAATAGATAGATCAACTAGACAGAAAATAAACAACAAAATACTAGAACTCAATCAAACTCTTGAACAAATGAATTTAACAGATGTTTACAGAGTGTTCCACCCCACAAAATCAGAATACACATGCTTTTCACCTGCACATGGGTTGTTCTCCAAAGTAGACCACATACTTTCTCTCAGAACATGTTTAAGTAAGTGCAAAGAAATTGAAGTTATCCCCTGTATATTATCAGACTACAGTGCAATGAAACTGGAGATCAATAGCAAAAAAAACAGCAAGAATTTCATAAACATATGGAAACTGACCAACACACTTCTGAATAACCAATGGGTCACAGAGGAAATTAAAGAAGAAATCAGACAGTTTCTACAATTAAATGACAATGTCAATACAACATATTAGAATCTATGAGCCACAATGAAAGCTGTCATACGAGGGAAATTCATAGCAGTGAATACTCATATTAGGAAAACAGAGTGAGCCCAATTAAACTACCTGGGGCTGAACCTCAAGCTTCTAGAAAAAGAAGACCAGGACAAACCCAAAGCTCATACAAGGAAGGAAATTATAAAGATCAGAGCAGAAATCAATGAAATGGAAACTAAGGGAACGATACAAAAAAATCAATGAAGCAAAGTGTTAGTTCTTCGAAAGAATAAACAAAATTGACAAATCCTTAGCCAACCTTATCAAAAAAGGAAAGAAAAGGTCCAAATCCATCCAGTTAGGAATGAAAAGGGTGAAATTACATCAGACCCAGCAGAAATCCATAGGATCATCAATACCTACTTCTAGAACCTATACACCAATAAGATAGAAAACACAGAAGAAATGGACAGATTCCTAGATACATATGAATCACCAAAATTAAATGAAGATATAGAAATTCTAAACAACCCAATATCAATCAACAAAATTGAAAACATAACTAAAAACTTACCAACTATGAAAAGCCCAGGCCCTGATGGCTTCACTGCTGAATTCTACAAAACATTTAGAGAGGAACTACTGCCACTACTGTTTAAACTCTTCAATGAAATTGAAAGGGAAGCAATACTCCCAAATTCATTCCTAGAGGCAAGAATCACCTTGATCCCCAAAGCAGAGAAAGACCCAACTGAAAAAGAGAACTATAGGCCAATCTCACTAATGAATGCAAAAATCCTTAATAAGATACTGGCAAATAGAATGCAGAAGATCATCAAGAAGATCATACACCCTGACCAAGTGGGATTCATCCCAGGGATGCAGGGATGGTTCAACATATGCAAATCAATAAATGTAACACACCATATTAATAGAGCCAGAAGTATCCGAGCCTTGGCTGTAGCATTCAGTGCTACATTCTCCTTTGAAATAATATCACAGTTTCAGCAAAACATCATCCACATTAATGGTGTTTATACTGAACACCATAAATAAAACAAAAAAGCCAGGTGCAGTGATATACCTGTAGTCCCAGCTACTCAGAAGGTAGAGCCAGAGGATCCACTGAATGCAGAATTTCAAGACTTGCCTTGGCAACATAGTGAGACCTCATCTTCATTTTTGTAAAAAATGATATCTGGGATTTGTTTTAAAATATTCTAGGGAAAAAATAAGTAGTAACTAAAGAGACACTGCAAATGCAGGAAATATTAAAGCTGGATGAGGACATATGAGAAGGTCATATCATTATTATTAGGTGTACTTTTGTGTAGGCAGGAAAAGGTTCATAATCAAGTTTACGAGGTTAATATTAATTGCAAGCACATCCCAAATGGCAGAGAAAGACTTTAAATATTCACTGACACATAAAAGCAAGAAAAACAGACAAATTCTCAAAATCAACTTTTTCAGCATTCTGAAAATTAAATAAAAATTTGCAACAATCCAAAGAGCATTTTATTCAAGAACAATGGTGGAATCTTGGCAGGAAGAGCCAACTTTGAGAAGTTTTCACTTGGCCTAATCCCATCACCTCGTTCCAGCTCTGTAGTAGCCTTGGATAGGCATGGTCTCACAGCCACAATAGCTGTGGAAACCAGCAACCTCGCTATTGGACAGAACAGAACAGGGTTGAAGCTCCCAAAAACTTATACGGTTCGAAAACTGTTCCTGGGTCACCTCTCTGGTGGCTCACAGGAGAGGTACATTCTCTAATCTTTATACAATTTTAATCACTGTAGAAACAGCTCCACAACCAACCAGGGCTGTCAGGAGAACAGTGACCAGTGACTGACAATTGCCCAGTGTCTAATATCACAGTTGCCAGAAGCAGGATTAACAGGTGGGGCTCATAGGAGACTAACCCTAAAAGGAAAAACTGAGAAGATGTCCTCAAGACACTTTGGTAAACTCTGACTGGGAATCTATCAGGTGAAGCACAAAAGATCTGTGAATGTGCTTAGGAAAGAACTAAAAAGTGTGTAATTTTCACCTCCAGCTAACCTTAAGGCTCTGTCCCAACAGGAACCAAAGGCTAGGGCAGCTTTTTAAATTGCCTGCCAAAGCAATGAAGGTTTATCCCAATACACCCTGAGGCTATCAGGAAGGGCTGAGAGACTTAGTAGTTTGAAGCATTTAAGGAAATCTCTGTCAAATCATTAGCTAACCACTAACCTAAATGATCAAGCACTTCAGGAGCTATACTAAGGAAAGGCCCCAATTCCCTTCTCCAAGGTCTCTTACAGAATACAAAAGGGCTGCTGAATTCTCCTCCAAGCTTTCCAGAAACCCCTTCATTTGCAATATACCTGAACTTGACCTATATTTTACTTTCGGAGTTAGCACCACTACAGTCTGTGTGTATGGGTTTGTGTGTGTGTGTGTGTGTGTGTGTGTGTGTGTGTGTGTGTGTGTGTGTGTGCATGTTAGTTACCAGGGACTGAACCTAGGACCTTTGCACTGAGTTATATGCCCAGGTCTTTTTCTTTTTCTTTTTTATCTATTTTTTACTTTGAAACAGTTGCTCAGGCTGGGTTCAAACTTGCAATTCTCCTGTTTCAGCCTCTCATAGTACTGGGATTATAGGCAGCACACCTCCACCATCTTTTGCAAGCCAATTACATATTGTTGTGTCAACTGCAAACTCTGGTGCCAAAAGGAAAAAACTGACAAACCACCTGCAGAAAATACTGGGATCACGCACAACAACTAACTGTGCAGTTGCACATGCCCAGGGTTTTATCTGTGAGCTTTACTTCTTGAGTCCTTTGAGCTCTAGCCTGTGCACTGTCTCAGGCTCAAGCCTAAGTCCCAGTGAAGCCTCATTTAGATAGTATTGCTTCCCTTTTCACGATTTCTGTCTTGAATTCAGCTAAAGATATCTGGTAACACCAAAATAAATGGTACAGTAAAAAAGCTGTATTTTACCTTTGTGTGATTTCTGTCCCATATTGAACAAAAGAATCCCAGGTTCACTGGAACATACA